ACAATATAAAGATTTTTAAGATTATTGAAATTATTTAAAAAATTTCAAATTATTTTACTTTTTTCCTAAAAGTGTATATATTTTAAATAATAATATGGTAGGCATTTAAAGAGGTAATAATATACGATTTATAATATGTATAAATGCAAAACAGTACAGTTTACTGAAATATTTATCATTGAAAGTTATTCGAGAGGAATTTGAATAACTATCATCAAAATCAGAAAATCATCAAAATTTTGCATTAAGCAACACTTATCACAACTGCACTTTTATTTAAAAAATTGAAAAATATATACATTTTGCATGTGAGCTTATAGTGTACCGTTAATATTCTTGAGTATAGAAGCGGAAGTGCAGAAGGAAGTTGGAAAAAGAGGCGGCAAGAATAGCAGAGAAAGTCTTAAACTGGCTTGCATCCAAAACGTCAACTTTAATAAAAGACCGTATTAAAAGAGTACAGTCGAGGCCATTGAATGTGCTCAGTGGATGCATGCATCGATATTTTCGAAGATTTAATCTATGGAGTTATTTACTAGGTCAGTCGATTTTGTTTATTGTTATCACGGCACAAATCGTTGAATTTTGTTAAAAAGATAGTATTTTGTTATTTTGACGATTTTTGTTATTTTTACATGTATCGCGATGATAGATAAATATATCTGTCTATGATCAGAATTAATTAAACATTATTACTTATTAAACATTATTAATTATTTCCACTCGATTAATATTTTAGTAATAAAAATTATTTTAAAAATTCACTTGTCGCTCATGTTCCGCTATTTCGTATGAATTGATAATTTGATCCTATCTAACTCACCGAATGAGGGACTGCAAAGGGTTAAATTGGGTGGTCGATTCGATATTCTGTGCTCGTATTCGGAGCCGCGATATTGCTCGTTTCATAATTAACGCGTCAATTTGGCGATCGACCGTTTGCCCATAAAAAAGCAACGTGCCGCAGCCGATTTAAGTTGCAACTCGAATTCTAATAATCTTCCTGGCGTAAAGAAGGTTTCAGCTTTCCAATGCGCATTGATGTTCGCACATAAATTTCTTAGAACAATTGCGAGCGTAACATACGATATGATATTGAAAGCGTGGTTTAGGTTACAGGAGTAGTATCTATGCACAACGTAGAACGTTGTACGTTATGAACGGGGAACGTCGTTACATTCGTTATTCAAGTACTTGAACTACATAGGCGAGCTTCAAAAGAGGTCATGCGAGGCACAAACTGGGTTTCGCGGCACTTTTAAGTTTCACCAGGAATATCCTACGAGCGAGTGAAAGAGAGAGAAGCGAGGGAAAAATTACTTTGTAGCTTCACTTCCCGGGGGACATCGTAACGTTCGAAATTGCACGGTGGCGGCGCACGGCTCTCTCTCTCTCTCTCTCTCTCTCTCTCTCTCTCTCTCTGTCTGCCACTGCGGGTGAACTCAAAAAATTCTAAAAAAACAATCGGAGACTCTCGATCTTCCCGCAACCAGCTTTGCCAGAGCCATTTCGTTGGGACTCGCTGCTGGAAAGAAAAATTACTTCGAGATGTTCTTCCAAAGACGTCGTTCCGCCCGAACGGCGGCATGCATTTTAACGCGTCGAGAATTTATACGGCACGGGAGAAACGGAAATTTGCAAAATTTCTGCCATGTGTCTCCCTTATAGAATTATGTATTACGTTTGTGCGAGACTAGGGTCCGTTTAGTGAGTAAGTACTTTTAAAAATGTATTTGATACGCTCGATGTGTACAGCACGCATAAGACATATATTATATATCGTATCTTCGTGATGCTTGAAGAAATCTTTCTCTTCAAAATGATATTTAATTTTTTCAGATTTTTCAATCACGATCTTTCAGATAGAGCGGGTGCATGTAAGTGGAAATTCAGGGGCAAATGCGCGAACATAAGGCAAGTGAATCGAAAATTCCACGGTCGCAATTCATGTTACGTGACTGAGCGCAATATTTCATGGAAATTTCTCTAGGGATAGAAGCGAGGTGAAGATGGCGGCCAATGGTCAGAGAAATGATTCGTATGCTTTTGGAGCGTTGAATCTCGCCAGAGAGCATCGGCGATTAGGTGTAAAACCTTGGTGAAGTATGTAAAGTGGCGAAAATATTCTTTAAGCGTCGTCATTATCCATCAGGAAAGAGATTTATTTAATATGGACGCGTGGTCACTTAATAAATAATATTTAAATTAAACCTACGTACTTACATAATTACGTAATATATATTATTTACTACATCATGTGTAATTTATTTATACTATTATGCATAAATTATTGAATCTTCATGAATCTTTCATGTCCTAAATTCTAATTGCATTGTTATATAATTATAAAAATTTATTATACAAATTATAAAAGTTGAGTTTTATAATTATAAAAATTTTGAATCCAGTTCCAATATTCATATGACAATTTAAATAAGCAAAAATTATGCGATGATTTCCATATGTTCTCTTTCGCTGTTAAAAATGCCGC